AATAGCTTGGTACCCACCCAGTTACTGGTTTTGGCAAGTTTGCTCTCGCATCTTTCCTCTGGCTGGGAAGTGCATGCAAATTAAGTCCTCAAGGAAGATTAGTAGTTACCGGATGTCAGCTAGGGAATCCCTTTTGAGATCCACCCATGAAAATAGGTCAGGCAAGTTCTGCAGATTTTCTGCGACTGTCAGGGGAATATACACCAGCAGAGGGCACGGACGCCAACAGAACTGATTCCTTTTCCCTTTCCTCTCCAGGAAAGCTTCTTCCTTACTCAAAGGGATTTTTCTTCCTCTGAATTCCTGAAATATTAATATTAATCCTTCGAGTCATGCATTTTGACAATGATACGCTGCACTGTGGAAGCTCTGTTTCATATAATTTGATTATCTAAATTTTCATTTGGTCTTCTTTTCCGTGCATAAACTTCCATACACAGACCACATTAAAAACCTGCTTTAAGGAAGGGACTGTACTTTATTGACCTTGGCATTCTTTACAACCTTGCACAAAGTAGGTGAGCAATAACATTTTTATTAATAATTGATTCTAAAGCTATGGTTAATCTTAACCAGACTAGACCAGAATTTCTTATGCTCAGCACTACTGATATTTTGGGCCAGATACTTCTTTGTTGTGGGGGACTGTCCTGCTGAATTTTAGGGTTTAGCAGCATCTCTAGCCTCAAGATACTAGATGCCGTTAACACCTCTCCTCCCAGTATGACAACCAAAAAAGGTCTCCAGAATTTGCCAAATGTCCTTTGGGGGACAAAATTTCCCCTGATTGAGAAACACTGGATGCCACTATAGGTCAAGGGAACTCAGCCAAGGAGAGAGTTCATGAGCTCTAAAAAATCCAGGAGAGGCTCAGCACTTGGAAATATCAAGCACAAAATAGAAATGGGCATGAAAAGAAACAGATTATAAAAGCCATTCAAATTCATAGACACCAGTAAAAACCAGTAAGAAAATGTGCTTCTAAATGATAGCAATTAACAATGACCAAAAAAATACCCAGGATTAAATCTAACTAAAGATGAATGATACTTTAAGGAAAACAATTTAAAGTTTTATCAAAATACATCAAATAAATTCTAAATAAATGAATATACCAATTATTTTTCTACACAGTCCTCTAGGTTTGAAATAAGTTAAATCAAAATCTCAATAAGGTGTGTGTGTGTGTAACTTGATATGGAAAAGCAAAGGGCCAAAAATAGTCAAGATAAACCTGAAGAAAATGATATAATCCCAAGTATACGGGGTTGAATGGTAGCTTCCCCAAGAGATATACGTAAGTCCAGAAATCTGTAAATGTGATCTTACTTGAAAAAGGATCTTTGTAGATATAATTAAGGATCTCCAGATAAGACCATCATGGGTTACTTGGAAAAGCCCTGAATCCAGTGACAAGGGTCATTGGATTGGAAAAACAACAGAAGACAAAGCCATGAGAAGACAGAGACAGAGACTGGTGTTATGCCATAAGTCAAGGAATGCCTGGAGCCACGAGAAGCTGAAATAGGCAAGGAAGGATTCTACCCGAAAGCCTCCCAAGGGAGCTAGCCCTGCTGACATTTTGATTTCATATTTATGTCCCCCAGAATTGCCAGAGAATAAATTTCTACTGCTTTAAGCCACCTTGTTTTTTTTTTTTTTTTTTTTTTTGAGACAGAGTCTCGCTCTTTTGCCCGGGCTAGAGTGAGTGCCATGGCGTCAGCATAGCTCACAGCAACCTCACACTCCTGGGCTCAAGCAATCCTTCTGCCTCAGCCTCTTGAGTAGCTGGGACTACAGGCATGCGCCACCATGCCTGGCTAATTTTTTCTATATATTTTTAGTTGTCCAATCAATTTCTTTCTATTTTTAGTAGAGACGGGGTCTCACTATTGCTCAGGCTGGTCTTGAACTCCTGAGCTCAAACAATCTGCCTGCCTTGGCCTCCCAGAGTGCTAGGATTACAGGTGTGAGCCACCGCGCCCAGCCTAAGCCACCTAGTTTTGTGGTAATTTGCTACGGCAGCCATAGGAAACTAATACAAGAAGTAATACAACAATACAATATTGTACTGTATTGTACAATACAGTAATACAATAAATACAACATTTATTGTAAAATTATGGAGGTTAAAGCATTGTGTATTGTCACAATGAAAAACTAGCTGACCAATGAAAGAGATTAGACCACCCAGCAACATCCCAATTCATACATGAAAACACAATTTGTGGCAGAGATGACATGGTAGATCAGCATTTTTTCATATGCTCATTGGCCATTTGTCTATCTTCTTTTGAAAAGTTTCTGTTCATGTCCTTTGCCCACTTTCTAATAGGGTTGTTTGATTTTTTCTTGCTGATTTACCTGAGTTCTATATAGATTCTAGTTATCAGCCCTTTATGAGATGTATAGTATGCAAATATTTTCTCCCATTCTGTAGGTTGTCTATTCACTCCAGTGATATTTTCTTTGTGCAGAAGCCTTTTAATTTGATCAGGTCCGATTTATTTATTTTCGTTGATGCTAATGATTACTTTTGCAGTCTTCTTCATAAATTCTTTGCCTAGGCTGATGTCTATAAGAGGTTTTCCAACATTTCCTTCTAGAATTCTTATGGTTTCATGCCTTAGGTTTAAGTCTGTTATCCATGATGAGTTGATTTTTGTGAGTGGTGAGAGATACAGATCCTGTTTCAGTCTTCTACATGTGGCTGTCCAATTTTCCAAGCACCATTTATTGAATAAGGATTCTTTCCCCCAGTATATGTTTTTGTCTGCTATGTCAAAAGATCAGATGGCCATATGAGGATGGTTTTATATCTGAGTTCTCAGTCCTGTTCCATTGGTCTGTGTCACTGTTCTTGTGCCAAGAGACTTTCGAGTTACCACTACTCCCTGGTGGAAGCATGCCCCTGGGAGAGACCTCTGTGGATAGAGAGGCCTACCTTCCTTGCTTTGGGGTCTAGTAGTGTAAAAGGGGTGCATAATTCGAGATCCCCCTACCCGCCAGTGTCACACAGAGACACATGCCAGCAGGTCAGACATAAGAACTGTGGGGTAGCTCAAGAGCTGGTCTTAGGTGGAGAGGGAACGCACATGGACTGATTAGAAGGGAAAATGCTTTGGAGTTCCAGGGAACAAGTAGGCAGGGTGCATACCCCACTCTCCAGAGAAACCAGGCTAGTGGACAGGGATGGAAAAAGCCTGGCTAGGGGCCTTAGCAATCACATGATTAGGCTCCTCCTATCAGTAGCAGCTCTCTGGGCTTGGAGAGATAGCTTGAACTCCATATCAGCGGCTCCCCCTAGTGGCCGAGTCAGTAACCTCTGAGCCCCTCAGAGGTTCAGCAAAGCTCCTCACTCAGGCTCTTGCATCCTAGCCACAATCTATCTTGCTCCTCCCCTACCTCAGGGGGTGTAGGGTCCAAGCAACTCCTGGGAGCTACAGGACCCCTACCCCAAAGCTTGGGGCATTTGTGTACCCCACCTAGGGGACCAGAGCCTATCACGGGCACAAAATATTACCTCGGCAACTGGCTCCTCCACACCAACTACAATCAACAACAGCAGAAACAACCCCATAGCTAAACATAGTGCCTTCCATCTGAAGCTGTTAGGGAATGGCAGATTCATATCCACAAGTACAATCCACCAGCTCAGAGATTAAGCTCGGGACCAAACTCACTGCACTCCACTGGGAAGAGGTGAAGACAACAGGTCAGAGGTAACCCAAGACATGCATCTAACCTGTTAAAACATCCCAAAGGCAACTGAGGACCAGCACTCCTCTCCCCAGCACTGTCAGGGATCGATCTCTGGGGACTTGGAGAAAGGGCCATAAAGCAGCCCTAACACACCCAGCTCTTGACCAAGAAGCCAGATGAGAAGGAATCGGCAACAGAACTCTGGAAACATGAAAAATCACAGCAAAAAGTCATCCCCAAAAGAAATCAATAACTCCTCACCAATGGATACCAACCTAAATGAAATGGTTAAAATGACAGATGAAGAATTTCAAATATGGGCTGTAAGAAAGCTCAATGAAATACAAGAGAAAATAGAAATCCAACGCAAAGAAGTTACAAAAACAATGCAGGAAATGAATGAAAAATTCCCTAAAGAAATCAAAGTATTTAAAGAATAACCAAACAAAAATTCTGGAAATGAAAAATTCATTCAAGGAATTTACATAACACAGTGGGAAGCCTTAAGAATAGGCTCATCTTTTAATTAAAAGAGATAGTGCCTACAGCTAATCATAAAGAATCATATTAATATAGTGACATTTTTATTCAGCCATTAATTCTTTGTTCCAGAATAACTCTCATAAACTTGAAGGACTAAAATCTTTGCTAATATACTAGGATTTGCTAAACAAATCTATGGTGTCCATAACCGTGTTTTTCATGGGACAAAAAAAGGAAAACAATTTTATTTGACTTTCTGCTTGATAGCTTAGGATTTAGCTCACACAATATACTTAAAAAATTACATATACCTTGATAAATACATAAACTATCAAGGGAAACCAAAATACTTTAGGGCGTAACTAAATTTAAGGTTGATATCAAGAATTATAGACACATCACATCTGTTTATATGATCTGATCCTTAAGTGCTTTCAAACACAAAATAAACAAAATGATAAGGTGAGTGTGGCAATTCTACATTCTTACGTTAAAGAAGGTTAACAAAAGTGAACCAGGAAAGATAAAATCAAGAGTTAAAAATAGGGAAAACATTTGTTTCCACCAACAATTTCCTCAGGAGCTAGTTGACTACTCTAATCTACTACATACATGTTATGGTATACAACATTATCGTATATATTTAACATATATTAAGTCATCTAGTCCTCACAACTGTATGACATAGATATCGTATCATCTTCATTGTATAGAAGAAGAAACTGAGGCACAGAGACTATTTTCTTATAATGCTCACATTCAAAGTGAGGCAGAAAGACACATTCATAAACATTTAAAATTTCTATTGAGCTCACCATTCTTTCAATTTGATGACTCCTTTCTGAAAACTCCCTCGAGGATTTCACTCCATAATTTTCTTTGTATTTGATATTTATGACTTTAAAAGAGCCAAGATAATAGAATGACCTATCATCTGAAAGGTAAAATAAGCAAAAGATTCATGGTTAAAGGTAATCAGTTTCTGGTTCTTCACTTCTTCTCTACTCCCACTAAATAAGCTACTATAATGCAGTTTATTTCTACTTAGTACAAAAATTATTACAGATGCTTTTCAAATATTGTGTAATTTCATCAGTGCAGCCAGCTACAAGAGAACATTCTGCTCCCAAAGTACACGTGCAGAATACTCCACTTGCTGATATCACAATGTTCATTAAATTGGACACATAATACACAATGGAAAGTAAATATTGAAAGCAATTGCTGAAAGTCATGTAAAAAATCATCAGTTTCCTCAAAGAATTGCTAACATAGGTATATCATACAATACCTAAGCTGTATTACGAAGATATATTGAACAAGCTATCAATTTTTTTCTATGCTGTTAAACTTAAATAGAAGTCTATATTTATTGTTTTCACTTTCTTTCTCATTCACTTCTTAATTCTCCATAATTGACTCCTACCACACCACTAAGCCTGTTATTGTCAGAGATAACAGTTGTAATGTCAAATGGTTACCTTTTTTTGATTTTTTTTGTTTGTTTTACCCTTTCATTTCTTTACAGTCTTAATCATGTTCCTTGAAACCCTATCTTTGACTTTATGAAGCCATCTTCTAGTTTTCTTTCTTTCTCCCTGGCCGCTTCTCAGTCACCTTGGAAAACTCTTTATTTCCACCCTTATCCTTAGTATTCCAAGGTTCTGTTCTTGGCCTGGTTGTACTAAACACTTGCTGATCTTAACTAGGATGACCTTAACCCACAACTATTTGTTGATGACTCTAAATTTTTATCTCCAGACCAAATCTTTGTTGTGAGTTTTGATTCTTTATCAATTGACTTCCGGAGACTGTTGTTCAATAGGTACCTCAAACATAGTATTTCCAAGGTGAAATAATCATTTACCTCTTCCTTTACTTAAACCTGCTTCACTTCCTATATTTTTCTATCTTTGTGAAACAGCTCTATCCTCTACACAGTCTCCCAAGGCTTGGCTTCATCCTCATTTCCAACATCCAATTCATCTTTCTGTCTTTAAGTCCTATGGACGAAACCCATTTAATCTCCAATATCTTTCTCTATGCACGGGGGATACATCCTTAATTTGGGTCGTCATCAACCACCCAGCTGACAGCCATCCAAAACAAAATCACATTTCCATACAAAAGAAGTCTCCTATCTATATTCTCTATCTCAAATACTGTCATTACAATTTACTTCATCGCTCAGACTAGAAATCTTGGCATAATCTTTGATCCCTTCCTAATTAATTATCAGGTATCAACAATATTATCACATTTAAAATTTTTTTGAATCCATCTTCTCCACAAATTCCACTGCCACTATTGCTCCTGTTCATGCCCCTGTCGTTGATTGCCTACAAAATCTGTTTTCCGATTAGTATCCCTGCCTCCTGTCCTGTTTTCCTCAAATCCATTCTCCATGTAGTAGCCAGAGCGATCTATTAAATTGCAAATTTGACAATATTACTTCCCAAATTAAAACATTTCCACTTTTTTTCTGCTGCCGATGGGAAGGAGTCTCAACCCTTTTGCTATGACTTACAAAGTCCTTTCTTGCCCTGCATCCTGCCTACCTCTTCAGTATATTCTTTGCCATGTTTCCCTTAGGATTTAGGTTAAAAGCACAGCAACCTGTTTGCATCTGTCTGCATTCACTGTGCTGTTTTCTTTCCTTAGGATTTGCTTCTGTTACCTCTTTCCCTTTAAATGCCTGTTCTTAGAAATGCCCTTTTCCCAGACTTCTCTACTGGCTACACCCTCTCCGTGACATCATCTCCCATGAGGAAAGTCTCTGGAGTATCCAGATTAAGACAGAGCCCACAAAACTGGGCTTGTGAAGAGCCCAGCTTCACTACCTTGTGAAGAGCTCTACTTTGCAATTGCCATATATCTTAACGATCTGTGGATTTTAGTCCATTGGAATGTCAGATTTTAGAGGGAAGTGTTGTGCCATTATTGCGTTAACAGAGGAGGCAACATTTCAGATGATATTAGTAAAACAAAACAAAACAAAAAAACAGCACTTTTAGCTTTTTATAAAGCAATGGATTATTAATTATTTCAATATTCTACATTTAATAAAAGCATAAGACATCAGACTCTGGGCTAAATAGTCTAATTTTTAATTTAATTAATTAGATTTTCATTTAAAAACTTTTTTTAGGTTGTAAATGCTATATCAAAAACCATGGAATGAACAGAAAAACATACATATGAGACTAAAAATTATAAACCTAATATCTAGAGGTAATTGATATTATTATTTTGGCTTATGTTTATACTGCTAACAATATTGTTTTACTTTGGCTAAAATAGATTATCACCACATTTTTATATCTTTTTTGTTCCACATATAAAATTAATTCTAAGCATTTTATTACTTCTTTAAAAATACATTTTGTTCATTTGAAGTGAGAAGTTGAGAAATATGAATCAGAAATGATATTTTACCCCAATAGTTTGTGTTCCATTTTGTGGTTTTGCTATTTTTAAGATTATGGCTTTATTCTTACTTTATGGATGAGTGGATGAATGAATCAATATTTACCAAGTTCCTAACATACGCTAAGCTCTGTCTAGTCAGCTCTCACATGTATTATCTTATTAAATATAATGAATTCAAGCTACTTCTCCAGTCATATCTTGAGAAGATTTCACAAATGAAGTTTCATTACAAAAAGATAAAATTAAAATTATCCCAGACTAGCAGAGCAATCTTATTCATTATCATATACATATCCCAATATTCTCTTGAAGACTTTCCCAGTTGGGCAAAAACATCCTCTGAAATCATGTAGAAGTGATTTTAATATACACTTAAATGCTTTTAAAAATGTAAGTTATATATAACAGTAATTGTATTAATCACTGTACTATAACAAATAGATTATATTAATAGTAATGTTGAGCTTTTGTATTAATAAATAATAATACCTATCCATTATTGAATTTTCATTATACCTTGAGAACATTTATTCTCATTTGCTATATTTTCATGTGGTATTTATTGAGTCTTTATTATATGTGTGGCTCATTTCACCAGTGAGGAACTTGAACACTAAAGGGTTTTTACACAAGATCAATTAGGAAGCCGTTTTAGAAATCCAATCTAATAACGGCAAATATTTATGAGAAATCACTATATGCCATGCACCATGCTAAACACAAATGGATCATTTAATCTTCACAATAAATTTCTAAAGTAAAAATAATATCTCTTTACATGATACTGAAGCTTGGTGAAGTAGAAAATTAGCTTGCCAAAGATCACTCAATTAGGATATGATGTGTCTGAGATTAAAACCAAAGTTTATTTGACTCTAAATTTCATGGAAAGATAAAATCCCTATATTCCTGGAAGTGGATCCAGTCCTCCAGAATGGGAAGACAAATGATGCTATCCCAATGCAGGCTTTACTCTTTAGGTTTTTCAAGAAACCAAACTTTCAAAACAGCTTTAGAGCTTTATAAAATTGTGTTTATGGATTATAATTCTAAATACTAAATTCTTCAAATTCTTCAAAATATTTGCAACTCCCTAAAGCAGATTTTTTTTAACCTCGTAACAAGAGATATAATAAATAATCCTAAATAATCCTGAAAAAATTAATCTGGGTCATGAAAATATTTGTTAAAAATATAATT